CAAGTATAGAAAACCGCCAAATCGGCTTTCCTCAAGCATGGAAGGCATTATAGGTGGAATTCTTCAAGCATAGAATGACACCGTATTCATCAGTCGGCTTTCCCCAGGCTTGGAAAGCGTTATCGGTGGATTTTTCTTCAAGTATAGAAAACCGCCAAGTCGGCTTTCCTCAGGCTTGGAAAGCGTTATCTGTGGATTTTTCTTCAAGTATAGAAAACCACAAAATTCCTTTGTCGGCTTTCCTCAAGTATGGAAGGCATTAGCGGTGGATTTCTTCAAGTATAGAATGACACCAAATTCGTTCGTCGACTTTCCTCAGGCATGGAAAGTATTATCCGGTAGCTTTCTTCAGGCTTAGAAAGGTACCAAACTCTTTAGTCGGCTTTCCTCAAGCATGGGAAGTGTTTCAACCAATGTCACTCGGTAGATTCCTTCAAGCATAGGAAAATACCAAACTCGTTTGTCACCGACACACTAGTGCTAGATATGTATTCTATCCCTTTACTCTTTTATCTGTGGAATTAACATTTTTCTACAGGTATCGCATATACAAAGTGATTTAGGATCGCAGAACGTCCTAAATTATTCTCCGTCCCTATCGACTACTTTGACTATCGTTTTCGAAACTGGCGTTTCTACAAACTCAGTCAAAGTGGGGGCTTCTGTAGACACCTAAAAATGTCTCCCCAAAACCAAACCCGATAATAAATAACCTTTCACCGCCACTATTGGTCGGGTTTAGTATTTAATCCCGAGAGTGCTTGAAAAATCGTAAATTCATATTTTTGAAAGGTCTATGGATCAGTCTTGGTGTTTGGTAAAAGCATAGTTTTAATTTTAGCCCAAACTTGTTAATTAATTTTAAGCCCAAACCTTTTTATTTTATTATTTTATTATTTATTTTTGGCCCATATATTTTATTTATTTTAATTTTATTATTTTAGCCCGAATAATAAAGTCAGAAAAAAGCCCGAAATTATCAATCGGCACTTAAAAAGCCGAAAGAAATTAGGGTTAAAAATGAATTTAGACGGAAAAATGGACTGGAACTGACCGTGTCACGGTACAGCTTGACCGTGTCACGTGAACTGTTCCCGTCTGACGGTAGGACTTCCCGTGACACGGGAGGTCTGCTGTGACACGGGAAGTTCCGTGTCCTTTCCGCGTAAACCCTTAACGCGTTTTCTGTTCCGTTTTCTAAAAATTTCCCGCGTCACTCCAAAACTGACCGTGTCACGGGAACTTGTACCGTCTGACAGTACAGTCTAATCGTGTCACGGTACAGTCTGACCGTGTCACGGGATACATTTTTAGGGTTTTTATCATTTTAGGGTTCCGTGTGCTCCCTCGGCACATTTCCCTATAAATACCCCCTCATTTCTGATGTACGGGGCAACCAGAATTCTATTATTCTTATTTTTCTCTCTTCTATGCTCTTAACCTAAACACTAGCCTACCCTTTTCACTTCAAAATTCCTTCTTCAAGCACTCAAAGGAGTCCATATTTTACTCAAGGTTCTGTCCTTAAACCAAGGCGTGAAAGGTAGAATCGTTTGAGGGTTTGGCCCCAAAATCAACCTTATTTTATTTAATTTAATTTAATTTTTATTTTATTATTTCCTTGAATTTACTAACTCGTTTATTATTTTGTAGTTGCAAACAAACAGATTCAAAGTAAGGATCATGCTCTTTTTACTATTGTTATTTTTCTAACGATTTTTATGTTGTTGGAATTATGATTAAATTGGTTTTTATGTTAATATTGATTCTATTATTTATTTTGATCAACATATTGCATGTTAAAGGGAATATATAATTGAAAATCACGACTAATAAGATAACTTGGACAACCGGTTTAGGATCCTTTTAATCTTATTATTAATTCAAGTGATCACCAAATTTTTAGAGTTATATGTGCATTAATTTTGAACCAATTTAGTTAAATAATAGTTTGGAGCAAATTGAATTATTGTTTGTATGCCTTTGAGATCACAGGAATGATTTTCAATATAAGAATCGAGTAGAGGCCAATACAGGCGAATGTGACTCCATGACTCACTTCGTACCATCATCCCCGATCCTCCTTTCGTGGTTCCGAACCATATGGAGTTAGTAATCTCATGGATTATGAATGGGGTGTAACCTTCACGGGTCAATCGTTGTTGCCTATCGTTGTCCCTTATCGTGGTTGCCTTTTTATGATCCGTGAACGGTTTACAAGTTCCTAAAAAACTTGTTGGCGGCTCCCTACTTTATTTGTCCCTAATCGTAAATGTCAATTCCCACTTCATATGAGTGCCAAGAATATTCACAACATGATTTTAACGTAAGCGCACTTCAAACGACGCCTACAGATACCCAGGTTGTTTATTGAATTTTAAGATAAATTTTAAATCTATTTGTCAAATTTAAAATCATATCATTGATACAAAATTAGTTAGGAATTGATGTGTTTTTGTGATGATTTAAACTATATAGTAGGCATGTAATGACTAATAATAATAACTTTGGTGAAAAACATTTCTTGACCCGTAACCTGAAATAATGACCCTGTCCGAAATGACTCGTGACCCGACCCGATTGACAGGTCTATACACAGTAATTAAATTGTATTAGATTGTAAAGTATGTTGTTTTAATTGATTAGAATATATTATAAATAATGGATGTGGTGCACTTTGAGCTAATTCCTTCGCTCCAAAAAAAATACTATGATACAAAAAATAAATTTATAAGATAATTTATGAGTGTTATAATTTTTTTTAATAAAATTATAATTTAATTTGTACATATAAAATATTGTTATTTTATTGAAAATAAAACTCTAAATTAACAATTTTATCCTAAAATTCTATCCAAATTTGATTGAAAATAGAATTCTAAATTAATTTTTTTATCCTACAAATTGAATTCTATATAACTTTATCCTACGTGGCGCAACACTTGGCGAAAAATTAGAACGCCAAGTGTCGCAATCTTGTCGTTTGGCTAAAAGTTTAGCTTTATATATTAGTTACTAGTTTTGTGCACCGTGTAATACACGGGTTGTTTATTTTATTTTAATATAAAATTTTAATTTGGGATAACTCATGACCCGACCCTAATAAAATTTTATTAGATTGTGAATTATATAAATTATTTTAACCGATTAGTATATATTATAAAGGGATGTTTTACGCTTTGAACTACATCCTTCGTTCCAAAAAAATATTATGATATAAAAAAATAAATTTATATGATAATTTTTTGGAATTATAATCTAATAATTTTTTTGAATAAAATTATAATTCAATTTGTACCTTTGAAATATTGGTATTTTATTGAAAATAAAACTCTAAACTAACAATTTTATCATAAAATTCTATAATTTTTTTATTTTATGAAGTTTATTTAAATCTATCCAACATGACAGCGACACTTGGCGAAAAGTTAGAACGTCAAGTGTCACTGTCACGTAATCTGGCTAAAAGTATATATATATATATATATATATATATATATATATATATATATATATATATATATATATATATATATATATATATATATGATTTAATGAGAAGCCTCCAATCAAGAAGAATTACACTATTCTACATGTACAACAATAAAAGATAATGAAAGCACGTTGCATCACGTTTTAGTAACATTGTAACCATTTTTAGTACAATTGTATCATTCATACCATTCAACTACTTAGTGATACAAATCACAATTCAATGGTACAATTTACAACTCATTCGTTTTCTATATCTTTGTCACTCTATTAACAACTATACCATGTTAGCGTACAAAATACTAAGCACATCATAACCTTGCATTATTGCTTATTCCTCGTTTGGGCATAGCCATTCTAGAAGGAGTATAAACTTTCTGTCTCATTGTTTACTTGTTTCTTTTATATTTAAATTTCGCAATATTTTGTTACAAGTTCACACCAATTTATCTGTTGTGTTCCATAAGGTTACTTTGTGTAATTTTGTATAACTTTCCAAGTTTCCAGTCATATGAACAACATCATATTTTCCATGCATGGCTGGCTGCAATTTATAATCTTCGAGAAAGTATATTCTTAGACTCTGTTTGGTTCATTTGATTTTGTTTTTTAGTACAATTATTTTCTCTGAAAACTTTTAAAACTTGTAATATTTTATCTGAACTTATTTAATTTTATTTAAAATTACTTAATTTTATCTTAACTTATTGCTTTAGCTGAATTAATTTTATTGTCATAATTTAATTTGTTATGAATCCTATGATTTTTTTTTGAGCTTATTTTTACTTATCTTAACTTATTTATTCAAAAATAAGCTGAATTTTTTTTTTTTTCGAAAATAAGTTAAAATAAGAGTGAACAAAAACAAACCCTTAATCATTATGTAACAATAATTATTATAAAATGCTTAACATACCCCCAATGACAAAAGTACGTGGTTGTAAACCTACTTAAGAAACGAAGCTTACAATTACATAAACAAAGCATTGATCAAAGACATTTCCCTATGACCTTTTCCCCAAAATACTTGCGTACATTTTCAACACTACAAACATAATTAGGACAAGAAAGCTTGATTACACAAAGTAAATTACAAATAATTAAAGAGCCCCTAATTAATCTCTTTACTAATTAAACCTTCTCCACTTTCTTAGTTGAAGTTTGAAAACTTGAACCACTACTTCTCCCACTCTCACACACAAACAAAAAGCAATCAAACAAAAAGCAAAAGCCTTGCCTCTTAAGTCTAACCTTACAATAAGAGACAACTCTTCCACTTGTTACCAAAATGGACCCCGCTTACATTATGGGTTTAATGATGGCATAAATTAAATTTAGGCAAATCTCAACCCTTCATTTCCAATCCAAATCTCCTAAAATCATTATATCTTTGCCACGTTTCACTCTCATTTTTCACTATCATATCCCATTTTCTTAACCCTAGTAATCATTAGCCAGACAACTTCTAATTGAAGCTCCTATAAATTTGTACCTTTGATGCAACTTACTTTGCTTTTGTATATAAACATTTTAGCCAAACTTTTCATACCATTATACATTTCATACATTGTGTTATTTTCATTCTTTAGCCTTATTTACGTGAAACTTATAGCCTAGCGCTATGCTATAATTGTTAATTTTATATTTCCTCCATTCTTTGTGAGTTGTGAGATATTGTTTCACTGTATCTATATAAGTCACTAGGTTGTTGAGGCCGAAATAAGTGCTCTCTTAGTCAATTAGAATGAAGGTGAAGGCGCCGAGTTTGATGAAGAAGATAATAGCCGCATTTTCGAACAAAACAAATGATTTAAGAGTACGTTTAATGATATTCTTTCTCCTACACAAGAATTTTGATAAAACCTCACTAACCAATTCCCTTCAAGCCCTTGTTTCTCACCACCCACACCATAAGAAGAAAAACGACGATGCCATCGACGAGGAGGAAGAGTTAGAGCTCGTCGAAAATCGACATGTCAACATAGAACACGAAGATGAAGAAGAAGAAATGAATGGTCATAGTTTGTTGTTGAACTACAACAAAGCTACAAGCATGATGGTGAGTGACACCACTCACGACATGAGGGTTGTACAAGATGTACCGCGAATATATACACCAAATCAAAGTGGTGAGCAACAACATAACGTGGATTTGACGCACGCGCTGTTCAAGGAGTCGGAGGCGGAGATGGAGAAGGAGGAAGAGACCGAGGAGGCGGTCGAGGGTGTCGAGCAGAGAATGGTTGAGGAAGAGGAGGATATGGGGGATGAGGATATAGACCAAGCAGCTGATATGTTCATACAAAGGTTTAAGAAACAAATGCTTCTACAAAAACAACGTTCATTGGAGAGACAACAATATAATACTGGTTGCTATCTTTTGTCTAATGCTTGAAAAATTCATGGTTATTAAGATGGATAATCATAATTTTAGATTCATTTATGGTGTCATTTTGCTGTGTTTTAATATCATAAATGGCACAGTAGCTAGTAATTATATGTAATAATTTTGTTTTGGGTTGTTAATTTTTTTTAAAATTTCTTTGGTTAATTTTTAAGAATGAGATGGATGATCTCTTGTAATGAGATGACTTGAAAATTACACGTCACTCATTTTTTATAAATAACAAGCGCCGTAACAATTTTTGTATTAGTTAAGCTTCTATGCTCATTCCATGTTTTAATTTTTGTACTATTTTTCCCCAGTAATATACCCAAGCAAAGTACTATTAAGATTTGAGTTTCTCAACCAAGTTTGTTATTTGCAAAGTACTATTTTAGTAGACTAAGACCATGTTCAATTCACTTTATTTTAACTAAATTGAAATTCATTTTACTGAAGTGAAATTACTACCTCTGATTTTTATTATTTATAATTTTACAATATTTTATATCTCATAAATAATACCACAAAGTTGCAAATAATAAAAATCGAAGGTGGTATTATTTTTGCTGAACTTAATTTATTTTTACAGAACTGAAATTATATTTGTTGAACTGAAATTAATTAATTAACCGATTTTCTATTATATTTCTTCTTTAAATTTACTGATTTTTACTGAACTAAAATTAATTTTAGTAAATTAAAATTGTTTTTGTTAAACTGAAATTATTTTTGCTAAATATTATTTTTGTAAGGAGAAGTGAACATGGCCTAAAAATGTGTTCAAAATAAGAATACTAGCGCAAAAATTTGAAACAATTAAAGAAATCATAGATTATGGAACCAAATTAAATACTACTACTACACTACTATGTACATGTTTAAAGAAGAAAAGAAAATGGACTCTAATTGTTTATATTGCTTTTTCTGGATATAGATAGAGGTAGACATTATCCTATACTGTATTTTCTTATGCATTGCGTTATGAAATTACTTTAATAAATCATAATCCCGAAAAAGAGAAAAGAAAAAAGTAAAAAAGGGAAGAAAAAAAAATAGAATAAAGGGGAGAATAATGACTTTGTTTCCTTAGAGGGGTTTCCTTTATGCTCAGCACAGATTTGATTTACCGTTAGTTGATACAACTGCTGCTGATTTTCCTCATTTCTAGGGGAACATTCTAAACACGCGCCTATTCTTCTGTTTTTTTTTTTTCTTATCAGTAGCCTCCCTCGGATCTAAAATAAAAATAAAAAACGAGGTCAGTGTTGCTGTGTTAGAGGTAGTGTTTGCGTAACGTTTTCAAGTGCTGCGTTTTAAAGATATTTACTGGCAGAATATGACAAATAAAATTATACTACCTCGTTAATTTTTATGTGCAACTTTGCGATATTATTTGTGATATATAAAATAGTCCAAAGTTGCACATAAAAAATAACGGAAGTAGTGTATCTTTATTGTAATATAATACTCCAAAAATTAAATTTAACAAACACTTATACTATTAGCAAGTATTTAAACAATTAATGAATCTTTACCTGTAACTAGTTGACACCTACTCCCTGAATTAGAGTATTAGACACTTTAAAAGTAAGAGGAAATTTTACTATCCCAAGCTTAACTTGTAGTGTTTAGTTGTTTACTAAATGTTGGCCAGGCAATTAAGATCGCAATGCTGCTAGTTGTGTGCTAGTAATTTGCTCTTCGTTTAATAAACTGTGTGCTGCTAGTTGGGTAGATGTGTGTGCGATTACAGAGAATAACTGTGTGGCTGCAATGCGATTTGTGTTGGGCTTAATTTGAATGGCTGCCTAGGTAATTTGTGTTGGCCGTAACCTGCATGGCTGCCTAGGCGATTTGTGTTGGCCGTAACTGTATGATTGCCTGGATGATCTGTGTTAGGCGTCCTGCATAGTGTGTGCTGCCTGGGGACTTGAATTCACTTACACTTTGTTTGGATAGGAAGAAATGGAAGGAAAAGAAGAGAAGAGAAATGGAGGGGGACAAAATCTCTTGTTTGGGTAATAGATTGGGGGAAGGGGAAGGAGAGGGAGGGATCCATTTTCCCTCTCTCTTTAGTAACCATAATCTCTCCAAAATTGGAGAAATTTGGAGGGAAAATGGAGCTCACCTCCCCCTCCCTTTCTTTTCCCTTCCCTTCCTCCATTTTCCCTCTTCTTTTCCTTCCTTCTTTGCTATCCAAACAAAGCGTTAAGGATAGGGAGTATATAAGTACTACCTCCGTTTATTTTTATGTGCAACTTTTACTATTTTTGTCCGTTAAACGTTATGTGCAACTAAGAAATTTCTTTCCTCTTTTAATAAAAAAAAAAATTAGTCAAATGTCAATTTTACCCTCATTTTAAAAATTATAACACAATTTACTAACAATAATCAAATTTAATTAATCACTAATTTTTACCCCCAAACAACCCAATTTAATTCATCAACTCTTCATCTTAAACTCAGGACATCCATCTTCATCTTCCCCCATATATTATCTCTCTCCTCTTTCCATCTCATTATCTCTTGAATTTTTATAGATTTTATTTCTCTCTTCAACTTCAAGAACTGATTTCTGGGATTTTGGGTGGTTTTTGTCAGATTTCTGGAATTTCGTCAGAATTTCACGGTGGAATTTCATCCGGCATGGTGGGATTTCGTGAGCACGGTGGTTTCGTGGGGTTGGTAGCAGTGCTGGATTTTGTGGGTTTTAGTTTCCTGGGGGCGGGATTTTGTCGAGGTAGTGCCTGGGTTTTGTGGGGCGGTTTCGTGGGGGTGGTAATGGTGATTAAATATCCATACATTCTCTCTCCACTAAACAGTATAATAAAATTTTGTATTGGTGTCCGTGCCAAGCTCCAAAGTTGCACATAAAAATAAAAATAAATGGAGATAGTATAAGATATCAATTAACTTACAAAGTTAGAGTTACCTAATTAACGAAGTTATTAATCAGTGACTGCAATTTTTTATTATAGATACTTCGTCCTTATAATTGATTTTGATCATTTTGTAATGTTATTTTCCTAATCTAAAGTCAAACGATCTCACAAAACAGCATAATAAATTCCAATCTCCGTCGCAGAAGTAATTTACCAGCAACTAAACCGTTACATACTGCTAGTCATTTATTGAATGTCTTCAATAAATCAAGTGACAAGCAGTTCGCCTACATTGACCAAATATGTTATAATAATAAAATTAAACAAGACTATTGGGAAAATTGTCAATGCAGCCTCCAAATGGAGGCAAAGCACACTTAGGAGAGCTGTGACAATTATTATTCAAGCATCGACAGAGATGGGAAGGGGGAGGAAGAGAATATTATCCACTAATTTGTCCGAAAATTTATAGGAAGAGAAAATTAAATAAGTAAAATATAACAAAATTTTGCAACTCAGAAAATTCGGAAAAAAAAAATGTTTAATTTAAGACTTCATTTCCCTCTTCTCTATATCTTGTACTCTGGAAGTTGTAATCCCGCCCTATAGCTAATCCATGGGTAAACAGACTGCCAGTCATTATTGCTCAACGCTTACCGGCAGCTTTCCTCAACGGTGGAGCAGAATCCTCGTCATCAGACTGTACGTCTCCATACTGCCACATTCCACTTCGACTCTTTTTTGCCTCTTCCTGGAATTCTTCGAGGTTATCAATAGCAGACTTCCTCTCCATCGAATCCCACCTTTTAAGTTTTTCTAATCTAGCAAGTCCAACCTGCAATATTTCACAACCCAATAATCAATCTATAAGAGTTGAGATGGGACAGACAAACAGCCAGAAAACATGATTATGTACAAACAAAAAAAATTGGAAGTGTCATATTGATCACTATAATAACATAAAACATTGCATAAGGTCAATCTGGACAAAAGTACAAGGCAAGTGGATAATTTAAGAAGAAAAAAATGAAAAGTACAATTATAGACATAAGTTAGAGAGAGAAAGTGAAAAAAAGTACAATGCAAGTGGATAATTTAAGGGTAAATTAGGATGTTCAATGAATAAAATTAAAAAAATGAAGGTATATGGTCTTTACATACTAACCAAAAATAGAAACAATGATAACATTTTGGGTGCTCAAAATTGGAAAACAGGAACTATATTATGGGGCGGAAGGAGTAGAAAAAAGGTGTATAAAGTAAGAAAAAAAAGAGCATCCAGGTAAAAATAAAAAGATTTTAAAAGAGAACCAAGAATCATCTCATACCTTCAACATGGCAGCATTGATGCTTGAACTGGCTTCTACATCGACCAACGTCACTAGAAGAACTGTGCCACTACCTTGGCCTTTCACTTTTCCACCAGATGTATCTTTTTCCTCAACCATGGCCCTGAATTCTCGGGAACTGTTAAGAGTTAGCTCACTCAAATACTCAGCTGCTTCTTGGCCATAATCCTCCTCTAAGCTAGGAACCTTTACGAATGCAAGACTGCAGAGTTGAGCTGATCCAGGTACAGAAAGGACAGAAGGAGGTAAAGGTCGTAGACGACTGTAGGGTAGTACTTCTTGATTACCATAATCGATATAGAATACTTCAAACTCATCTTTTGGGGATTGAACATCACCACGGGGCACATTCACAATCTATTGTATTGGCAAAAAGAAGCCCAGTCATCAATTAATTAAAGCATTAAAATCAAATAAACAATGCCACCACATGTCAAATTCAGAAACACAGAAACCCAAATAACAATATTCACATCACTTACCATAGCTCGATTCCATGAATTGTCTGCACTAAATTGAGCAAGAACCACATCACCCTTCTTGGGGTTAAAGCTTCCGATTACTGGAGCATCCTTAATGTCTAGGGAAGCAAGTTGCTGCTGAATAGAAGCAACCATCTGGTCCTCAACTTTTTGAACATAGAACTTGCCTCCGCCAAGGACTTCAGTAACAACCACCTGTTTACATGCAAATGTTAGTTATCATATATGGTAAGATTACAGCCAATAAAACTCATATTACAACTCAGCCTACCTTCATAACTTCTTTCTGTCGATTTTCAGGGGCTGATGATCCATTCACAACTTCTTGACCTTCAACATAATTTTCCCATATCTGCAATGAGCCAATAGTTGGTTAAATTGACTCTGATGATACCATATGATATAGCAGAAGAATTTATCATATATGCATTACTAACCTTCAACTTCTGGCGTTTAGCAGACTCTTCAGCTTGAGCAAGAAGATGGGCATCTGCTATCCGATCTGTGCCAAAAGATTTCTGAAATTTTGCAAGCCCAGCTTCTAGCAACACTGCAGCCATATTGGTCTTAGATTCCCAAAGGAATCCCAAGAAAGTTCCGGTTCTATCCACAGTTT